TTATTTTAAAGAGAAAAAAACATAGAAATAAAAAAATTACTTATCACATTGACTTATTATAAGACCGCCAGAGGAATTGCCTTATTTTGTAAAAATAAAGCACAATAAAATTGTTTGACTAGGAATTAATTTGATAGTGATTTATCTGTAGAAAACAGTTTTATTCAGATAGAAACTGTGTACCACAGAACTCATTTGTTTGAGCATTAAAGTACACAATTCAATACTTGTAGTATGTTCATAGACATTAAGAGACATAAGTACAATTAATTTTAGGATATACCATTCAACTAAAAAGTAAATTTCAAACATTTAGCTATCATCCTCATGTTACGTACTAACCACAGTCTACTTTAATGTTTCTATAGAGTTCCCTATTTTAGATACTTATGTGAGCTTCATCACGTATTAGGTGAACTACATCCCCAGTCTTTGCAAGAGCATTTTTTTTTTTTTTGAGACACCATTTCACGAAGCTGTTGAATTCCTAAGGCTAGTCTGTGCTCACACTTCATTCCTGTGAAGGCCTCTTCAGAGGGATGATAATGGAGACCTATGCCACAACATTAGGCTTTCTCAGCATTCCTTATAAATCAACACTTTGCCGTTTAAGAGTTTTAGTTTAAAGATTTAGGACTTTTCTTCACCCATACTCTATCTTGGAACAGTATTTGATTTAAAGGATCCCAACTGCCTCTTTGTGACAGTGTTCACACCTGGCCCAGATGCAATCAGTTCAGTTTATTTTCCTTCTGAAGTCAGTGGTAAATGAATGAAGGTATCTCACTAACTGCACAAGCACATCAATAAAAATATGAAAGAAACTGGCTAGTGCTGTGCACATTTTTATGTAGCTTTTGAAGTTGAGAAATACAAAAAAATTATCCTTGGACGTTTTTGAATGGTTACACTAAACCTTTTCTTTAAATGAGTTCTATCATTAAATAGACAAGAGTCAAAATACTTAGATCACATTTTATTTCACATAGAATTAACATAAATATCTTTTAAGCATATAGTGCTGACTAAACCTTAGTGTTAAAAATTAGCACATAATTATGCTTTCTGAAGAACCAAAACTATCTCACAAATTCAATTTTATATATTAATAATTCAATTTTAGACATAGAATGCACTGGATCTTCTTGTATTTTATATCTCCATGTTGTAAATGGAAAATAAGGAAGGCAAACCAAAATATTATAATCTGAAACAAAAGAAAAAACTGAATAGTTGAAACTAATTTATTTGGTGAACCTGATCTTAGTTTTAATAACTTTAGTCTTTGATGAGGAAGACAAAGAAAGTTTGCATCCCAATTTGGTGAATTACAAATAAAAAGTTAAAATGACAGACTATATTGTTCAGATCCACAGTGCTTTTAGAATTGAAGTTCTTGCTTGGTAGGCAGAATTTTGAATGGAAGTATTTTAAATGGAAGGATTTAGAAAGTAAGACATCGAAAAGTAAAAAAAAACAAAGTTGACTCAAATATGTGGGTACGATGAGAAACTGTCTTTTCTCTTTGACTACAAAATGTTCTGCACTCTTTATCCAGGAAGGAGACTCATTGCTGGACAGGTGCTCTGCATAGCAGGACAGCCGTTTCACTAACACTCCTGCCCCTTCTCCAGCTTCTGAGACATTCCTTCTTGGACAAAGGAATAGACACATTGCCAGGTTTTGGGTTTGGTCTACAGAGCTTATGATGTTCACCTGGGCTCCTCCTTTATTATTCTGCATTTAAACTTGTTTGACTGTGTCATCTTTCACTGTGCCCTCATGCATTTAGGTCTGTACTTACCTACCCTTAGGTTTTCCAGGACATTCTGTGATTTAAAGGCTGAGTGTGCCTAATTCTGGAGTTTAGTACTAAATGTTACACATGGCCCACATCTATAACATGCCCAGCAATAGAGTATCAATAGTAAAAGTATTTTTAATACCAAAGCTTTTGGCAATTATTCATTTGTTTCTGAAATTGTTTAGGGAACAAACAGGGTTTGATATATTGGTCTGCTATAACCGCAACAATGCTGAATGCTATCAGATGAAATAAGAGATTTAGAAATTATCCTATATTTCTTAAGATATGAGATAGCACAGGTTTTTCTTAATAGTATTCTATTTAGTGACAAAATAATGAAGATAATACTGTTTGCATTTAGGATTATTAGTGATACAAAAATAAGTAATTAAAAGGAGAACCCATAATACAGGGTAAAATAATTTTAATTTTAAACTGTTGCAAATATTTAGTCATTTTAGAAATGCATCAAGTGATACATATATACATGGAATTTACATAAATTTTGTATATGCACTGATAGTAGGTAAAATGTGTTTACTTGCATCCTATACAAATTCTACCTCAATTCTTCAATTATAAATGGCTTTTATGTGTCTTTTTTTTTTTTTTTTTTTTTTTTTTTTTCTTTTTCCTTTTTATTGGTACCGGGGATCGAACTCACAACTGCTGGCTTGCAAAGCAGGCGCTTATGCCGCTGAGTAAATCCCCAGCCCTGCTTTTATGTGTCTTAATCTCATGTATTTTCTTTTACATAGATGTGAGTCTTAAATACATTAAATATGACATCTTTTGAAGAATATTTATCATAGCTGTTGATTAAGTTGTTTGTGTTCAGAAGTTTATGCAGATATTCTTTAACCTCATCTTACTACCAATGTTTTTATGCATAAGCTTATTTAAACTTATTTTCCATGTAGGTCATTTTTCCCCATTACTTTTTCTATTTACTATCCATAATGAATTCAAGTCCATGTCTTATATTTTGCGTCTTGTACTGGAAATTGGGTAATATATTCTTTAGCTTACAAAGCATACTTGTATCATCCCAGTTAAGTGACTAAATTCAAAGGAAGAGAAAAAAATTAAAATGTGGAAAAATGATTGCTAAACCAGCAAAATAAGCATTGACTAGACTTTCTCAAAGTGTTTACGCTGAGTTACTTATATCAATCATTTCTTAAAAAATTATAAAAATAAAATGCTCTAAGGATAGATTTTAAATAACACGGATTTAGATATGATTTGACATTAACAAAGAGAGAATTTAAATACGTACTATATGTCTTCAAAGAAATACAAACGTTAACCATAAAATATAAACTGCATATGGAAAAAATGGGGAAGATTTTGTCAATAGCAAACAATAGATGGTGAGAAAAATTAAAACGGTTTTCAGGGTGTGGATCTCTGCACGACTTTCCTGACTTTTGTTTTTCTGCAGGTAGGAAATTGCAAACATCGCAGGTGGCATCAGATATATCTTCCTGCATTGCTAAGAGTCAGACACTGGGTTAATCAAGGTGAGCTGTCATTCTTGACTAACCCTCAACATATTTCTCATGTCCTACTCTGACCTCCTAATGAGGTTTCTTTTATTTCCAAGATTCTTTTTTCTTGCTTTATATTATTGTTTGGAATAATTTCACCCCCATTTTCTTTCTGAGCTATCACAATGACATCTTTTTTTCATAACAAATTAAATGACTCTAATAAAAATGTTGAAATACATTCTACTTTTTCACTTTCTTTCTATTCACATTGCCCAATAACACAATTTCTTAAAAAGTATCAGTTAAACTAAAATATCCTCATGAGAAGAACAAAAGTATCATCCTCCCTCTGAAGTCAGTCATTTTCTCCCTCGTTGTCCCATGTGATACTTTCACTTGAAAACACATTAAAAGATTGGAAGTGTGGGGTGGAAATGAGGTAGTTGGGGATTATTCTCTGACCATATTTATTATGCCAACAATTCAATATAATGCATCTTTGATGGTGTGTAATAAGGTATTAAAATTTCTCGTAACTAGAAATGTTCTCGGTCAGTGGGAATTACTGTAGATAATTTCAGGTAACCTGGGAATAATTTGGCTAGCTAAAAGGCTTAGACCCATATATAAAACATTCAGTTTAGAGAAAAGTTAATTTGTTCTTCACATTAATCCTATGCCTAACTACACCAGAAAATGCAAATTTACATAAAACCCAAGGAGAAAATTAATAATTTTATTACATTTTCAAATAAATTTATAAAGCTATAATAATCACAATAATAAAACTGTTCTCCAAAATTTACTAATGTTTTCCCTAAAGTGCTAAGTATTTTACACAATGATTAGTTTTATATATGTTACTGATTTAATTTAGATTCCTAATATTTATTTGCATTTGTTTTCATGGTTTTATTTTCTTTGATTATGTTCCTTTCACACTCATATTTCCAAAGGAGTCTGAAGTGTGTGTGAGCAAACATACTAGTAAAAATCTGAGTAAATTTATCAAATAAGCAAGGCAAAAAACATTCCAAATTCAGATCACATCTCATGTTACTGGCATTTTGGGGGGCTTAATATATCAGGAAAAGCAAAAATACTAGAACAAAAAGCACAGAGAACAATTTAAAGGTAGAGATGGGTAGGAAGAAGATGGATTAGAGGGATTTTTATTGTTTCCACTTATAGTCTAATATTTTGCTATGATTTAATAAAAACTGAAATAACTGTCAGTTGAAAAACCACAAACGGTTCATAAAGTGACAGGAAATTGAACAAGCTCACATTTCTGCTCGATGATGGATACATTCATTGTTAGCATGGTTTATGGGAGAGTAATGACGACGGCACTAAACAGGGCTGGCAAGAGAAAGAACTCCACGGAAGGCAAATATGTAGATAGAGCTGATAGCCCCGTTAAGCAGAGAGAAATGTCTGACTCAATTTACACGATCGGAGGTGAAAAGGAGTGTCATTACCTTAAAATGGGTCATTTAAATTGGAGACTATAATTCATGAAAATGTGTTAGGCTTTGTAGAACTGACAGCACTTAATATTATGAAATAAATTGTTATTCAAAATTATTAGAGTAAAAACTTTTGCTTAGACATGTCACAGTGACACACAACCAAAACAATAAAACCAAATCAAACTAATCAAATAACCCAGCCTGCACACATGGTGCACTGATACTTACTTAGTGTGGCGGATGTCTGGCAGGGACCTCTCTAGGGCAATATTATTGCTGACGAAAATGTTGAAACCATTTTCCCTGTAAGCCGAGTCATCACTGTCCTCTTCAGTAAGGGGATAAGGTTTCCCATGTTCACCTTTCCCTAACAGGAAGAAACAAAGTCGAGTTTCAACTACGGAAAAAATGTCATGTTCTAGAACAGAAATTCAGACTTGGATGCATTTCTTCAAAATAACTATTGATTTCTGGCACAAAAGGAGCTAGAAGAAAGATGTGATATTATTTAATTTTAATCGTTTTAATGTGAAAAGGTTGAATAACTGATCATTAAAAGTAAACAAAAAGAAAAGTATAAAATATAGCCTCACCTTCCAGAATGCAAATCACTGTAAAGATTTCAGTATATGTTTCTTAATGATTGTATTGGATTCTAACACACACATTTCTTGATTCACTGTCTTTTTCCAAAATAACTACAGATCATTTACTTCCAATAGTAGTTGATATTATTTAATTATACTCTAATATATACCATTGCACTGAAGATATGCTGTTATATTATTTCCAGCTTTTCTTAATTTCTCCTTTATGAATATGTTGAATTGCATATGTTTGTTAACATGTTCTTGGTTACACGCTTTTGGAACAAGAATCATAAATTCCTATAACTAGAACTTCTGGAATATCTTTATAGTAAGCACAGTATTTTTCACATGCTCAGAGAAAATAGATATTTTTATATCTATTCCTAAAATTTATATTATTTAGATCTTAATTAGCCTTATATATTTCTGATATCATAAAATGATTGTCCAAGAGTTCCACACTTTGTAGAACTGCTTATTATGTTTGTTAAATATTTGTTAGCTACGTACGCTGCAAATATGTCCTGAACTTACTTAAACTTAAACTAAATTTTTTCATCAGGATGATATTATTTTATAGTTTCTTCCCTTTCTCTTTCTTTCTTTCTTTCTTTCTTTCTTTCTTTCTTTCTTTCTTTCTTTCTTTCTTTCCTCCTTTTTAAAATCTTTCTCTTTTATACTAGAAATTAAACCCAAGGCTGTTGCATTGAGCTACAGCCCCACCTTTTTATTATTTATTTATTTACTAGATAAGTTCTTCCTAGGTTGCTAAACTGTCCAGGCAGACTTCTATCTTATCATCTTCCTGCCTCAGTTTCCCAAAGTGCTGAAATTACAAGAATGTACCAATACTCTCAACATTTATTTACACGTAACTTTTAGAAAGAAGTTCTCCACTCCAATGTATTTAACGTAGATTCATAGGTTCAGGTTTATTAAAGTTTTATTTTTGTGTTACTGATTACAAATTTTGAAAATTTGGGTGGTTTTTGTTTTGTTTTGTTTTATTTGTTAAACAATTTGGAAATTGTTTTTGTGTGAAAAGTGCGGCAAGAAACATTATTTTTTGTAAATGTTTAAGCAGCTGTAGGAACACAATTTATTAAATAATTTTTTTTCTGCTTGGGGTTTAAATATAGTCACACAGTTTCTTCGTTTGTTTAAGCACATTTATAAATTTCTATGACATTCTACTGTTCTGTCAATTGTTACTTTGAAACACTATAGCACTAACAATTTTTTGTTTGTGTTTTTGTTATTGCTTTTTATTTTTTGTTTTTTTTTTTTTTTGTTTTGTACCAGGGATCAAACTCATGACCTCCTGCTTGCCAGGCAGGAACTTGTGTCACTGAGCTAACCCCCTGGTCCTACACTAACAAGTTTTTATTGTTCGGAAAATCTTAATTGTCATTTATAATGCTGTTTTTCAGGCTAGTCTTACATGTTTATTTTTCTATGTGAACTGTTTAATAAAATTGCCATTCTAGATTTTGTTTTTGACATTGTGTTGGATTTGTTGATTCATCCATAGGGCAATTTCTATCAAATAAAAAATGTTTTACTCTCTCGTTATGGCTTGTATCTAGATGTACCCTAAAACATCACGTTGTCATAGGTGGAGCTTTTCAAAGGTGGCAGATCTAGGCTGAATGAAGATGGATTAAGAGTGTGTGACAAGTAAATTAGTACACGAATTGGCTTAGTTCTGGCTGTGAATAACGGGAAGGTCCACTCCAGGTGTGGGTGATAACATCTGATAGGCTTGTAGCCTGGACGGGATAAAATGCTAGATGTCTTGATGCTTGCTGCTTCCTGCCTGTCTTCCGTGGATGTTTCTTCAGTGACGTGACCCCCTTCCACGCACCATGTCTTGGATCAAGGTGACTCTGGAGTGAAATATCTTAAAATTGCAAGCTAAAATAAACCCCTTTCTCCTTTATATCTTGTGGGTTTCACGAGTTGTATACCGGCAATGTGAAAAATAACTAACAATCGTCATCCTCATTTATCCCCAAATATCTCACTGTGCTAAGTCTGTCTTTCATCCAAACTCAAAATGGCCAAGAAAGGTAAAAATTTTGAAACAGTTGAAACAATAGAGGCAGTCATGACAATGTAACCAAAGGTCTTCACAAAAGGACTTCCAAACTGGTTCTGTAAGAACAATGGAATAATTGTCCCAAGTGTGTTCAAAGCAAGGGGAACTCTTGAGGGGATTAAAGGCAGTGTTTTTTCACCCTCATTTTTTTAAAGAAATTAATTTTTAATTCTATTTTTTCACAATTTCTGTGAGTTTTTGATAATTTTTCTAGCTGTTATTTTTCTCAATCTGATATTCTTTCTTCTGGTACATTTTCTAAACAGAATGATCTAAAGTTATTGATTTATTAGTCATCATATTGAACTTATCCAAATAATTTTTAAAAGCTCTCTAGAGCTCTTCAGGTAGCAATCCTTTCATTTAAGGCATCACACCTTTGCCTTTACTATCTTTATGGGTAACTTATGCATTTCTTTTTTATTTTTATAAATCAGAATAAAACATGTCAGTGTCAATATATATTTATCCTGACACTGAGCTGAGTTTGATGTTATCAAGTATTTCAAATTTGAACTTGGGTATGTATTTGTTAGTATCTATATGTGTTTTTGTGCCTGTATGTGTGTATGTGCATGGGTGCATAACATCATATTGAGAATCCTATTAGTGCCTTTTAACAAAAGTTTTTTTTTTCAGAAATGTAATATTAAAATGTACATGCTTTTCCAAATCTTTTGAAGTATTTATATTTCTCTAGTTTTTGTATTATTAACTATTGATTTGCAAACATTATCTGTTTTCAAGCTGAAATTCACATTTTTAAAAGGGTATTCCATTTATGTATCATGAATTACTCAGAACAAAAAGAAACTGCATTCTATTTTTCTTCTTTCTACCCTCATCTTGCTAAGTTCACAGAGCTGAGAGCCACTATAGTTAGCAGGGAATGATAAGACATTACTTGCTGCCTTCAAGAGAAGGCTCTGTGCTCGGCACAGGTGATCGGCAACGGGGGTGCTTCTAAAACAGCAGTGAAGAGTAGCAGTTCGACTATGGAGACTTCTACCAACAGAAGACTGTCCCAGACCCCATACCCAGAGGCCAAGATCCAGCACATTTCTGGGATCTAACACGTACACTATCAGAGAATACAAATACCAGAGGTATTCTGATTTTACACTCCTTTGTTTATCTGATTGGCTATCACTTTTCTTTATGGGTTGATGCCATCCTATTTTGGTTGGCATTCTGTGGTTATTTTTGTATTTGGGTTTATTTCTATCTCTCTTTTTCTCTTTCTCTGGTCTCCTTTTCCTTTTCTTCTGCTCTTTTCTTTTTCACTGTCTTTCTCTTTTTTTCTCAGTGTTCAGGTTTCTTACCTTTGTTTTTCATTTTTTTAATTGATCATTTTTCTCTCTTTCCTCAATTATTTCTTAAATTTACACTTTCAAATGAATAATGAATGCACTTGCACTTTCTAATTCCTCCTTTACATTCCATTTCATGGTATACAAGAAACACATTTAACTCAAAAAAGAAACTCATAGGTTGAAACTCAAAGGATGGAAAACAATACCTCATGCAACAGGAACTAAGAAAAAGCAGAGGCAGTTATTTTTTTTGCAGACAATGTGAACTTCCAATCAAAAATGATCAAAAGAGGTGAAGAAAGTCACTACATACTTCTTGGGGGAGACAGCAATCATAAAAAATATGTATGGACCAAATATGAGGGCACCCAACTATATAAGATAATTATAAATAGACATGAAAAATCAAACAAGCAATAGAACAAATGTAATGGGAGACCTAAATACTCCATTGTCACAAATAAATAGCTCAACTAGACAAAAAATGCAAAGGAATAGCAGAAATGAAACAAACCTGTGGACAAATACACTTATCAGATATTCTTAGAATGTTCCACACAACATCAGAATATACATTCTTCTCAGTTGCACATGGAACATTCTCTAAAACAAACCATATAGAAGCCCACAGAACATGCTGAAGTAAATGCAAAGAAATTGAAATTATGCCATGCATAATATCTGACAGTAATGCAATGAAATTGAAAATTAATGTCAAAATAAACTGCAAAAAGTGCGCACACTCGGAAATTAAATAACACCCTCTTATACCACCAATGGGTCACAAATGAAATAAAGAAAGAAATTCAGCAATATCTACAACTAAATGAGGCACAACATACCAGAATTTATGCCATGCAATGAAAGCAGTCCTCAAAGAGAAATTCACAGTGGTGAACTCTCATGCCAGGAAAGAAGAATGAGCACAAATAAACAAACTAATGTTACACCTCTAACTTCTAGCAAAAAAGAGCAAGATATACAAAAAGCCCACACATTGGGGGAAATGATAAAGATCAGAACACATATTAATGCAATGGTGTTCAAAAATTACAAAGAATTAATGAAGTGAAGTTGTTTCTTTGAAAAAAATAAATCAAATTGATAAACCCTTTTTCAACCTTATCAAAAAAGGAAAGAAAATATTTAAATTCATGCATTGAGGAAAGAAAATGGTGAAAACACTATAGATTCTGTGAAAATTCTAAAGATCATCAATACCTACTTTGAAAACCTTCACCCTCATATGATGAAAAACACAAAATAATTGAACACATTCCTACATGTGAATGAATTGCTAAAGCTGAGTAAAGAAGATATTAAATTTCTGAATAATCCAATATCAGTTAATGAGATTGAAAATGTA